CACCATTTGAGCTTGGGAACCATTTCACACATCACACAACATGAGACCTCCATCAGTTGGTCGATCCTCGAAATGTACTGGAAACTGACAAGCTACGGTGGGTATCTTCAAATGTTGCACCAATTATTGACTCCTCGGCGGTGACCCACCATGCTTCAAGCGCGTTTAGCTTGTCGAGGGACGTCGCCATCATATCCTGGAAGCCCTTGAACTGGGTCACCATGGACTCCATGGTTGCCTTCAACGAGTCGACGGAGGTGGCCATCTCCAACTGATGCTTCGGTGGATTCCGCTTCTTCGGCGCTAGGGTACGGTAAAAAAAATTATCGGGCAAAATCAGGTTCTTGATACCAGATTGTTATGGGAACCGATAACTAGAGGAGAGTTTCGACTGGGAATAGCAGGAATTTGTGTAGAATAGCAAAAGCAGAGTCGGAGGTGGGAAGAACACGGCTGGAATCCGTGGGCGAAGATGGCGACGAAAGCCGTTTGCAGTTAGGAAATGATTCTGTTCTTTCTTACAACAGACGTTGCGCCGGCCAGCTTATATCATGCTGGAAACAGCAACGGGCTGCACCGACTCAGCCCACCACTCTATTAGTGCCGGCCCAAGGCCCATTACATGACACATTGTAACTGGTTTTGTGATTAATTTAAATTAATCCTCCTACAAAACATAGGTTAGTCATAATAACTTGTGTTGGTTGATCACCAAAACTGAATTTGCCTCTATATTCCCATTTCTAGCTTAGCTTTAGACTTCAGAGTTTAGACTAGCTATGACATGTTCACTAGTGTTGGATTGTTGGTAGTCCAGATCACAACAACTGATAGCATTTTGACAAGCTCCTATATCATCTTATCTAAAAAAACGACCACAATTTCGTTCTTTTTCATGCAACAAAAAGAACTTAAGCTTATTTCATTTTCTTTCTCTTGTTAAATCAAGCATGTCCGGACAAATCAACTCTATCTCCATCCCCATCAACTAGTAGCTTTCCTATTTCGTTTTCAATTAGTACAGTCCTTCTATCTAATGACCAGAAGATACGCCCTATCATTTGTCTGACGGAGGCTGGCAAACCACCAAATTCTCACCGCTTGTTTCACGCAGTGCTGCATGATACGTAGAATTGTATAGTACACCTTCCAGAACCCAGAATGCATGGAAAAGGAGATTACTAGGAGAGATGGTGACTCATTAATCACGAACTGACCTGGTGACTGGCCAACAGAACATTCCTGTTTCAGCGTCTTCGTTCCCCAGCAACCACCTGCATAATCTCTCAATTCATATTATGCGTAGCAACAGTAGTAGAAAACAGTGATCGTTCTCTGTAAACTATTTTGTTTGGAATGATTAGAAGGACAAGAACTGTTGAACAAACTACACACGCAAGCCAGCCAATGCATGATCAGTCGAGTTGTTAGTACTGACCGGCCGGCAGTGCGTGCTTCTTGGCAGGCTAATCAGAAAGGGTAATTAACAATTTGGTCTGTCAGTTGGTAGCAGCCGTATGTATGAACAGAAACTGTCGCTGTAGTCGATCTCTGTGCAGCGCACAGCTTAACGGAAGGGCTAACTTGCTAGTTGGTGTGCGTAGGTAGCTAGGTAGATGCAGGTGGTTGGGGGAGAAGAATTGAGCATCGAGTCAGGGAAAGCCCTAGCGTAAGAAAGCAATCTTGGGTCTAGCAAAACCAAATTATTTTTTAAATTTAATTAAATTTATAGGAAATAATATCCAAACAAGTATAATGTGAAAACATACATCGTAACGAATCTAATAATACTTAGGCCCTGTTTGGCAGGGCTTCACTTCACTAGTGAAGCCATTTTTTTTTTTCAGCTCCACTAACAGCTCCACCGGTGGAGCTGAAGCGGTTTTGGTAAACCGTTTGGCAAAATTGCTTCCCTGTGAGAGCATGTTTTTAGGGGCCTGGAGGAGGAGCCTGGAGAAGCCACTATTTTTGGCTCCTTCCCACCCCAAAGCTGTGTGAGAGCACGTTTTTAGGGGCTTCGTCGGTGGAGCCGTTTCATTTTACCCGTTTGGCAGAAAACGGCTTCAAACGGCTCCTGAAGCCGCTGGAGATGCCCTACCAAACGGGCCTTATTTAGTATGATAATAAATATTAATATATTTTATATAAATTTGATCAAACTTCATATCATTTGACATAACTTTTCTAGATTTTTTTGGAGGGATGGCTAGCATCTCTGTCTGTCTCTCACTTCCAGAGCACTCTAAGACACTCACAGGTAGGACCTGCGCGCCATGCACTCCATCACCATGGCCGTTCTCTCTGGTACTGAGTTGTGGGTTCCATGCTTTGCTTGTCACTTTGTCAGTGGTGAGATCATATATACATACGTCCTGAATATAGGAGGAATAGCAAATTCGCAACAGCCACTACCGGAGACCGGCTCTTTGCCGAGTGCCAGGTGGTTTGCCGAGTGTCAGGTGGTTTGCCAGGTGGTTTGCCGAGTGCCAGGTGGTATTGAGTGTTGTTTTTTTTTGACACTCGGCAAAGAGCCTCTTTGCCGAGTGTTATTTTTTTTTACACTCGGCAAAGAAAATTTCAAAGCATATTTTGAAGCAGTAAATTAATTCAAATAAAAAAGTTTTCAACTACAAAGTTGTATAACTCATCAAGATGTACAATGTTTGTTTTGGTCTTTTCTTCATATGACAAAGTGAAAGTAAATTTGTTCACAAATCTAACATATCTCTCTTGTAGTTTATGAAACTACAAGAGAGATATTTAAGATTTGTGAACAATGTTAGAACGACCATGTCGGATGAACAGATGATCAAACAACCAAAATAAACTTTGTAGATCTCGAAAAGTTATGAAACTTTGTAATTGACAACTTTTTGATTTGAAATCATCTTGTCATGCAAAACTGCGTTTGAATTTCAAAATTTTAAAATTCAAATTTTGTAAATGACCTCGGATGGGAAAATTTCATGAACTAAAAGTGTAGATCTCGAAAAGTTATGAAACTTTGTAGTTTACAACTTTTTTATTTGAATTCGTTTAAGGCCTCAAACATGAAATTTACACTCGGTTTAGTATAATATATTGGGAACAAAAACGAAATACAGACACAAGTGAGAGTGGTGTAGTGGTAGAGGAGGTATGTGCACAACGGGAGGTCTCGGGTTCGAATCGCGTCGGCCGCGTAGCCATAAAATTCACGCGAAAAATGTCGGAGATGGGTGGGCGCTGGCCGGTAGGGGCCTCCGTCGATAAAAAAAAATTCATTTTTTTGGATAAAAATTTCCATTTTTTCGGGTTTTTTTCGGTTTCAACTTTGCCGAGTGTCGGCACTCGACAAAGGCTTTGCCGAGTGCCCGACAAAAGACACTCGGCAAAAACGCCTTTGCCGACGGTTTATTTGCCGAGTGTTCTTTACCGAGTACAGCACTCAACAAATTGGGCTTTACCGAGTGCAAATTGGGCTTTGCCGAGTGCCCCTGGCACTCGGCAAAGCCAGTGATTCCCGTAGCGAGCCAACCACAGACCACGCCATGCACGAACTGTTCCCATGTGTGCACCGTACTGATCGAAAAACTATATAAAGCTAGTACTCGTAGTTCATTCTTCAGATACAAGTACAGGCTCAATCACACATGATCGAATTCCTCCGTTTAGTTTGGAAAATGTAGCTCTGAACCATTAATACGCTGTTAGGAGATCACAAGTCTATCCCATCAAAGTCCACAGAAAGTACAAGCTTGGAATTTTCACACGCATCCATGAATGATTAGTCGTACTACTATATACCCAGCTTGTATATCCATAGGGTCAAATGGAGGCATATCAACTTGCATTGGCATCAGGGAATGAAAAATATTGCTAGTTTATGGCAGATTAGCTGGCCAGCTAGCTTGTGTACTTGCAGATTTATCATGCATTATATTGAGTCACACATGTTGTTTATATATAGTTTGTGTTTTCTTGACGGTTTCCTGCTCTGCCAGTAATCTCAGCCTGTTGAAGATTTAGTGGTAATTGATAAATATGTTAGTAAAAGTTACTATCTATCTAAGGTCAAGGGATCATATATATGTATATCAAGAGCAGATACGTGTGAACTCAAATCCCTTTCGCACTATATATTAAAAAGAACGAGAACAACCACCTATGACTTTGTTTGTCTTTCCTTTTGTCCACTTGGAGGAGAGGATTCTTCGTCTGCACAAGAAATCTTCAAATTATTAATCCATCCCAGTATATATGTACAGGTTTTGGCGATTTCGTGATCCACTTTGACTGAATATATAACTTCAACTTGTTCTTCTTAAGTTCTCTGCAACAGGTTATAAAGAGAACACCTCGAGTAATACGAGCTCGAGCTACTAGTTAAAAACTTTGTCTCAAGTGCGAATCATTCTATACTTCTGTAATAAATCCACAAAATGAACTTCAAATCCGTAACTGGAAATTAAAAAAAAACTGTCCAATTTTTTATATTCTACATCAGACACCATAAAAATATAGAATGGGTGCTAGCTATTGACAATACAGGATAAACCTCCCTCAAAAGGGACATAACCTGATAGTATATATATAGCACAATAATAGACATATCGACATGTCTAGAGCAAAAGCTGTATACATGCATACACATAACGGAATAATAGACAAAGGACCATATGAATAAGATTCTATTCTTGTTTTGTCATCACGCGCTGTTTTTTTTCCTTCTAATTTCTCCATAGTACACAAATAATGTATTTACATCTGTCGTCGTCATTGATGCATATACATATATATTTCTTCTCATTTCTCCTTCTTTTTGACGAAATGTGTACTGAGATGGTACTACTACTATATATGTGTATATATATACCTACTACAGCTACATGCAATACCACGCAGAGGAGGCACACACACACCCAAGCCCTCTTTAGCACTCATCTATCCCTCCTTTAGTTGTCGAGGAATTCCGATCCGTATCACCCTCCATGGCAATAATCATCTTCCTATAAAATCAATTAATTGAACGAATTCCACATCTGTGTGAAGCCACTCTCAGCTAAGTACTCAAACCCATCCTGAGAAAAATTGCTTTGAGGCGCCTCCCTCTTGACGCTGCCTTCGAACCTGCTGAACTGGCTCATGAGAACATCCTTGATTATTGACTTCCCCATGTGCTGCTCCGGATCAGCCATGGCGGCAGATGTCAGCGGAGCGTTCATCGATGGCGATGGCTGAGAGGGGTTACTGGAGAAGCAGGGCACTTGCTCATAACCCTCTAGGTTTTGCACTGATGAGCCAGGCTGGTCAAAGGAAATATTGTAGTTGTTGTCAATCACTACTGGAGAGCCGAAATTCCCTGACGGTGTACGGACCGTCAGGGAAATGTAAAACACCGTCAAGGAAATTTAAAAGTAAATTCCCTGACGGTGAACCGCCAGGGAATAACCGTCAGGGCTGGCTCGACAGGGATAATGCTATTTCCCTGACGGTGTACCGTCAGGAAAATACGATTTTAATTTCCTGACGGTGGATAACCCACAGGTTAATTGCAAAACCGTCAAGAAAAATCTCTTTTCTCTGACGGTAGAAACCGTAAAAAAATGGATTACCGACAAGGAAATAAAATTCCTTGGCGGTGCAAAACCGACAAGCTATTATATCATTTACCCTGACGGTCTGCACACCGTCAAAAAAATCGCTTTTTTCCTGCAGGTGCCTGTTTTCCCTGTCGATTTCTTCCCATCAGGGAAATATATTTTTCCTTGTCGGTGGTGATTTCCCTGTCGAAAGAGGACCATCAGGAAAATTCTTTTCCCTGTCGGTGTTAAACCGCCAGGAAAAATCACACCGACAGGAAAAAACTGACATACTGTTTTCCATATAATTTAAAACAGATATATTGAATATAATATACACTGAACCATGGAGACATATACCAAGATAAATACAATACACCATCATATATATATATATATATATATTAGTCTAGCATAAATTCATTACATACATAGATGTCTTGTTTGCATCAACATTGGTAAATACATGAGATGTCCAAATATTTAGCACCCATCTACCCAAAATAACTTCTCCAAACATTTGGCATCAACATAACTCCCTTCCACCACCGGTACTAGCTAAAGATCAGTACTAGCCCAACAACCACACCACTAGTACTGACCTAAGTGTATGCAGAGGCAAACACTTCAAAAGAATACGAGCTAAAGGTTAGTACTAGCTCAACATCCACGCCACTAAGAACTAGATGAAGGTTAGTACCAACCAAATTGTATGCAGGGGCAAACACTTCAAAAGAATAGGCTACACAGCCATTCAGTCTTCAGTGAGATCAGCACCAGCACCTGCACATGTGGCTTCATTATGATAGTTCCTGGTTTCCAATGCAGCTCTACTTCCACCATGGAGTATCTCATTTGCTGCAACATCGTCATTAGTCGATTCGGAACCCACATGAGATGATCCAGTCACCGGCTGCATGTGAAAAAGTAAAAGATTATTAGTCACCGGGCTGCATGTGTTTCAGTCAATATGAGTACAAGGCTAAAACATGTTCAGCTAAAAACAAAAGTTGTTTTCAGCTAAGAATGTTCAGCTAAGATGTTCAGCTGAAAACAAAAGATGTTCACCTAAGAATGTGTTACTGATCAAGGTATACATGTTCAGCTAAGAATAGTTTACTAATTATTTTAATACCACTAGTCCAGAATCAGTTCAGCTAACAGAAATTGTGGTGCCCTATTTGCATAACATACTAATTCTTCCCAGTTCTTCAAAACCAAAAAAGTGTGAATTTCTACCTTACCATCAGATGTGAACATTGGAATCTCAGTGTAACATGATTATGTGATTCTGTGCAACTAAAGTCTATAGCTACAAAAGAATCAACATGAGGCCACTTCCTCACTGGTGCACTGGGTACTGCCATGCTGAATACCAAAAAGCTCTAGTTAGGCTAACTGAAACATAGGAGCCAAATGCCTAAATTGAATGCCATACAAAAAAGAGTAAGATTCCCTTCACTTTGTTTATTTTCCATCTATAATTTATAGCTAATAGAATATTTTTTATATACTCACAGTTGGTTGTGTTGTTGATAGAATGCTTAGTGCTTCCTCTGGAACTTCCTCGCCCACACGCCGATAAAGTCGACATACACGAATATGTACCACGTTAATGTGAACAAATGTTGTTCGAAACAACAAATCTTAGATTCAGATATTTGCACATACCACTATCAAGCCTAGTGCCATTTTGCCTACATTGTCCTTTTCCTGTTGTAGCCTTATGTTTTCAGAGCGTAGATGTGCAACTTCTCATGCCATGCTTTGCATAGAAACTAAATTTGATGGATGGATATTGTTTTCCTTCGCGGCTGCCCTGATATCAGCTGCCCTAACAGCACCATTTGCAATGGCAAATCGTCCATGGGGCGTGCCACCAGAGAGGTCATACAAGACCTTGCCATTCAATTCTTGCTCATGCACTTGCTGGCTTTCCTCTTCCACATCCCCTTCCTCTTCCATGTGCTCATGCTCTCCATCCACTTCATCTGGATGTGCAACCCTCCTAACAGCTGACATATAGTCATCCTAGAAACAATGTTCATACATAAAGTAGTCACTTGCACCATAAAAGAAGAATCTAAAAAGTAAATGGTTTCCATATATCAAAGTAGAGCCTGCTTACAATTAGCTTTTGTGCTTTCTAACAACGAATTGGACCACTACTGCCAGTGCTATCCACACTTTTGAAACCAGAATGCATCACAGCAAATGTGTTCATAAATGTTGCCTTTGCTGGACCAAAGTTCTTTCCCTATAAGATAGAATAGGTTTTCAATGTAAACATCAGCAAAGAAATAGAAAAAATAGTAATCTGTACTTGTTCAGAACATGAAGATTTGCTAGTAATCCTCAGCCATATGTCATATTGGTTGTTTTCATATTGGACGAGATTACCTTGTGCTAAAAAAATAATTTGTCTGTTTGTCCAGATTGGCTGTTTGTTACATTCTGAGGTTTCTCTTATCACTTTTCTGTCAGATATAGCACTTATAATTCAAATAGTAGTCTTTACAGATTCTTACGAGTAAGAAGACACTCATTAGCAAGGGTATCATACCAGAACTTGTTGTGTCTCCGTGAATGGCCTCGAACCTCCACGATTTTGAGCAATATCTTATGATTTGAAGCGACATTCCTGTGCTCTCGCTTGTTTTAGCTTGAAATCATCAGTGCACCAATAAGCACACAGCCTAGGCCACACCTCGTCACTGCACCACTTCAGCCTACCAGCCAAGTATTGTTCATACTGCAGCTATATCGGGCGAGCATGTGCATCATCAATTGTTTCAAGTGTATTGGGATCCCTGTAGTACTCCTTCACACAATCCACACGGGATTGATACAATAGGTCCTTAACTCTTTTCTTCAAATATTTTTCAAGAACACGATCAGCCTCTGCTTGGTCATCTATACTGACTTCAAACAAGCGCTGCATGTGTACAAGACAAGCTAGATCAACAAAAGCAACTTATCTGTGCATGTTATACTCCTAACTTGAAAAATTATGTGTTGCTTACCCAAAATTCAGAAAGCACACGATCTGCACTTGACACTCCCGTTTGATTCGCAGGATCTAGAAAAAAATAATCTGCCCACTCCAGTGTTGCACGCTTCCTAATGAGTGCCCCATTCTCGTCCCCATTCTCGTCTCTGTCCTCAACCAACACAGTAGGGTATTCTCTCTTAAGAACGACTCCAACTTGAGTCGTGTATTTGTAAGGGGGATCCTTGTTCTCATAGTCAACATAGCTAAACTGCTTGCAGTCATACATATTTGTTTTATTTAGGTGTTCAAATATTTATAATAACAATGAATCATCAATTAGTAATGTACTCACTCGTCACCACTTGGTTTAAGAAGCACCTTGGTACCAGGCTTAGGTAGTGCTAATTCTGTCACGCGCCCTGGCTTCCTTCCTCTTTTTTTAGGTGGCTCTTCTCGGGCAGGAGCACCTCTGGTCCTTTGGGTGGCATCACTAGCAGAGGCTGTACCAATACCATGAGATGCACTGCCATGGGAGCCATGATTGCTAGTAGCATGATTGGTTGGAACATGACGAATGGCACGAGTCATCTGCACAAAAAGTAGAGTCCACAAAAAGTAAATTAGCATAGGAATTAAATAGCCAGGACAAAAGTTAAGTCTGCACAAAAGGTAAATGGATGCAATGAATAACCAGCAAGTAAAAAACAACAAATATAAGTTTAGAAGATGAACAACAAGCTAAAATTATATAGTCCACACAAGTAATAATAGTAGATTGAAAAGTTTTGGTTGTCAGACAACCAACTGCATTACATCACATTAATTTTACTAGGACTATATATTGGAACAACAAGTTTTTCCAAATTGCAGTTTATGACTAGATCAGAAATCATTTGGATCATAAGTCTCCTCAGCCTCTTCATCCATTAGTTCCTCCTCTTCTTCTGTGCTTTCATACTCTTCCTCAATTTCTTCTTCATCATATCCTTCATCTTGAACAGCAGCCTTCTCGTTTGTTTCCAAGTCTTTTGGGTCAGTTATCTCATCAGAGCCCAATGAGATTATGGTGTCCAATGCATCCCCCAAATCAATAACAAAGGTACCATCCAATCCTTCCTCTTGATAGACATCATGTATTGTCTCTTCAGAACTCATTGGCTCAGTATTATCGGTATTTCGGGGTACACATCCATGTGGAGCAACCTGATACACAACCCACCATGGTAACAACTCCTTCTTCTTGCATGGGTACGACATATAGTAAACTTGAGTAACTTGACTAACCATCATAAATGGGTCAAAACTTTTTAATCTTGCTACATGCTTGATCTCTACCAACCCTAGGTCTTCTGTGCGCCTCAATCCATTAGGTGTTGGATCAAACCAGCGGCAATAAAACAAAACCAACTCTAGTTTAATACTACCCTCCCATTTTATCTTTATGATATCTTCTGTGACACCATAATACTCAAGATCATTATCAGATTCATCATATGAAGTAACACAAACACTAGTATTAATGGTTGTTAGCCCTGGTCTTCCTTTCTCATATTTCTCAGAGCGAAATCTATATCCATTGATATCATAACACCCATATGAGGTAACTTGAGTGCGGAAACCATAAGACATTTGGCACAGCACATTATGAATGCTAGCTGATTTTTGGCACTGAAAAAGAACAATTTATATGTTAACTTTGTTTAAGTTTTCTTATAATTTAAAGTAAGCATAATGTGACTTTTTAGAACAAGGGAAGAAGATTACTTTTCTTTTGAACCATTCAAAAAAATTTGGCCCCGATTCCGTGCCACGGCCATGTTTCCAACCATTTAACCTTAAATCACGAAGTTGCTGTTCTGTGGGAGGAAGACGGCTCTTCCACTGCTCCTTCTCAAATTGTCTACATTAACAGATTTATTGTTATCCCTATATGCACAAATTCTACTAAAGAAACCTCAGATTTTTCATGTGTTTTTAGAACTTACATGAAGAAATCTTCCATCTCAGGCATGTTTGTTAATATGTACAGGAAAGCAACCTTGTATTCCTCATTTGAGAGGTCACGGATACCCCTTGGACTAATGCATCGACCCAAGCATTTAAAAATTTCAAGGTCACATGTAGCTTGAAATGTAGATGCACCATCATCATAGCGAGGTATCTTGTTTCTTATTGAAGGAGCAGTGGATTTAAAATACAAGCTAAGGTTATTTGTAACCTCTTCAACTAGGAATGCCTCAACCATGGCAGCTTCAACTCGAGCCTTATTTCTGATTTTCTTCTTAAGTTTTTGGATACACCTATGAAGTAACAACATACCCATGATCAATAAACTAAGGTCCTTTAATTTGGACAACAGCTTACATAACTTATTTACATAATTACCTCTCATATGGATAGCTCCAACGAGCTAGGACTGGCCCTCCTAACCTTGCCTCATAAGGTAGATGGATGATCAAATGTTGCATAACATTGAAGAAACCAGGAGGGAATATCTTCTCTAATTTGCAAAGAAGCACTGCAACATTTTGTTCCAGAGAACGGACAACATCTTTGCTAAGCTCTTTCGCACACAATTAGCGATAGAAGTAACTAAGCTTAGCCAAAGAGCGCCATACATTGTCAGGCAAGAACCCGCAGAACACAACAGCAAGCAACCATTCAATAAAAATGTGGTAGTCATGAGTTTTTAGGCCTAAAACCCTCTTTTGCTCAAGGTTTACACCACGCCTTATGTTTGCAGCATATGTATCAGGAAACTTTAAATCTTGGATCCATTTGAGAATGGTTGGCTTGTCATCTTTACCAATATAGAATGGACCTCTTGGCCTATCCCACTTCCCATTGTTTCTTTGCACCAAATGGAGCGAAGGACGATTACAAATCTGAGCTAAATCTAGCCTAGCCTTCACATTATCTTTGGTCTTATCTCCTATATCAAAGCATGTGTTCCATATGGCTTCAGCCATATTCTTTTCATTGTGCATCACATCAATATTGTGAGGTAGAAGAAGTTTATGGAAATATGGAAGCTGCCTAAAGCAAAGTGCATGTGTCCAATTATGCAATTTTCCATAGGTATCTGAATCACCTACAAATCTATCCAAATGGCGTTGCATTTCCTCTCCTGTTAAGATACTAGGAGGCTCCTCAGAAACCCTTGTGTTCTTACGGAATGCATTTGCTTGTTGTCTAAATTCATGATCAACAGGCAGGAACTTCCTGTGGCAATCAAACCAGCAAGCCTTATGACCATTACGTAGTGTAAAACCTTTGCACCCATATCCATATGGGCATGACAATCTACCATGTGTGCTCCATCCAGCAAAGTCACCATATGCCATGAAGTCATGTACAGACCAAAGGTAGGCTGCCCTTAATGTAAATTCTTTACCGAAGCATCCCAAGAATTAACCCCTACCCATAGGTCCTGAAGTTCATCAACTACGGGCTGCATTAGAATGTTCAACTTTTTACCAGGGTGCTTTGGACCAAGAAGAACAAGGGAGAGGAAAATATACTCCTGTCTTAAGAGTGTGCCAGGTGGTAAATTTAGTGGGGTCACAAAGACTGGCCAACATGAATAAGGAGCAGCATTTAGATTAAATGGTGTGAAACCATCAGTTGCTATAGCTAGTCGCACATTTCTTCTATCTGATTCAAAGTCAGGGTTGTCTTTATCAAATTTCTGCCAAGCTTCTCCCTCACAAGGGTGCACCATTTTACCATTCGTTGAGGGACTAGGTGCATACATTAGTTTGGCTGTTTCGGGGTGTAGAAACAACCTTTGCAGCCTATCTTTGATGGAAGATAACGCAAAACTTTGCGTGGAATTTTCTTCCCACCATCCTCATATCGATTGGCTTTACAAAAATCACATTTCTCTTTATTCTCATTATCTTCGTAGAAAAGCATGCAATTGTTGTATCAAACATCAATTTTCACATATGGCATACCAAGACCCTCTAATAGTTTCCTTGATTGGTAGAAGTTGTCAGGTAGCTTAGAATCTGGAGGAAGAAGTTCATGGACAATATCTAAGATGTCATCATATTCTGCAATAGGCATGTTGTATTGTGACTTTACGGCAAGCAATCGAGCAACCGCGGACATGCATGAGTGATTGGTTTTCTCGTGCACCAACTCATCTGCACTAGCGACCATCCTGTAGAAAGCTTTAGCATATGGTGTTGATTCATCTATTGCAGGTGGATGGGCCCCAGCTAGATCAACTAGCATTTCATCTATATGGTCGGTCTCATCAAAACCCTCTCTATTTACTGCATTGTCAAATTCAGTATGACTAATAGTCCCCTCTCCATGCTCTGTCCATGTTTCATAGCCTTCCTTAAAACCATGCTTACATATGTGCAATTCTACAGTTTTTCTTGGGTGTCTAAAATAGTTCTGGCACTTGGCACAAGGACACTTGATGGTACCATTTTGAGCTACACCCGGAAATGCAAATGCATGATTCAAGAACACAGTGCTTTGATTAATCCATTCATTAGAAAAGTTACCACGCTGCCAACCACTATACATCCATGAGCGGTTTGACATGTTAATAAGTTCTGTATTGAAAGATTAACATGTTAGATTTCTATTTAGTATTATTTTAGATCAAAAAATCCACACTGCATGAAAACCACAATGTTTTAGATCAAGAAACAATCAAAGATTTGTTTTTTATTAATATAGAACTAAACTACAGTTGTCCATAAAATGATCTGGGTTCACCATTCTTTAACATTGCTCAAGTGAAGTTCTCGCTGAATTGAATCACAGCCAAATGCCAAAGGAAAATAAATGCAGGTGAAAGGATCAAGATGCCCAAGAGGGGAGGGGTGAATTGGGCTAATTCTAAATTTATTACAATAATTAAATCCTATTGATAGCCCAATTAACCCTTTGTGCCTAGAAAGTATTTGTAATGTTCTATCGCACAAAGAGACTTGCAACCTAGGTTCCAATCCTACTCTAGCATGGCAATTCTAGGAATGTAAATGATAAGAATTGAATTGCTCAAAGTAATGCTTAAAGTAAATGCTCAAAGTAAAGAGAGGAGAGGAAACGCGGCGATGTTTTGCCGAGGTATCAGAGAGTCGCCACTCCCCACTAGTCCTCATTGGAGCACCCGCGCAAGGGTGTAGCTCCCCCTTGATCCGCGCAAGGATCAAGTGCTCTCTACGGGTTGATTCTTCGACACTCCGTCGCAGCGAATCAACCAAAGCCGCTCACAACTTGAGTTGGGTCACCCACAAGATCCACCGGGTGAACACCAAGCTCCCAATCACCACCAAGCCATCTAGGTGATGGCGATCACCAAGAGTAACAAGCACGAACTCTCACTTGACCACGCGAAGCCTAATGAGAGCGGTGGATGCACACTTTGCTACTCTTGTTTCACTAATGAGGCTACTCTCTTGGATTCTCAAATCACAAACACCTCACTAGGACCTTGCTCTTCTTGGCACTCACAAATGTGTTTCTCAGCTGTTGGAATGAGCAAAAGTAACTCCACACACGAGTGGAGCTTCTATTTATAAGACAGCCAGAAAAACGAACCGTTATGTGCCTCTATGGGGTGACCGGACGCTCTGGTCAGTTCAACCCGCACACCAGAGTTTAAGTGTTGACCGGATGCGGGCAGGGTCCAGTCACCACTGACCGGACGCGTCCGGTCACAAATATCCCTCACTGGAACCTTACTGTACTCGACCGGACGATGAACTCCTAGGGTCCGGTCAGCACTGACCGGACGCGTCCGGTCGCAGATTCCTTTCTCTGGAACCTTACTGGAGTCGACCGAACGCTGCCTCTCAGCGTCAGGTCACTTGACCACTCCAACGTCCGGTCGCACCGAACGCAATCTCTTGATCAAATGAACTGACCGGACCCTGCGGCGAGCGTCCGGTCGCACTGGAGCCAGCGTCCGGTTAGTATTTGACCCTCCATTCACCTTCAACTCTCGATCATGTGTGAATGAAGTTTGCTCCATTGGATCTTAGGCATATGTAGGAGCTACCTAGAGCTAGTTTAAACAAGTGTGCACCACACCTAACTCACTAGACTCATCTAGGTCAAGCTATCCGTCCATACCCCCCTTAATAGTACGGCCAAAGGAAAAAACAAAGTCCTAAACTACTCTAAGTGTCACTCCAACTCCAATCGACACTTAGAACTAGTCATCCTTAACCTTGTCGTCCATCCTTTGAAAACCAAAACGATTTCCATCGTAGGGGCATGACCACCTCGATTGCCCAATCGATCTCCATTACCATGACCTAACTTAATTGCCTCTGCAAAACACACGTTAGTCATAGTAATCTTGATTGTCATTAATCACCGAAACCCAACAAAGGGGCCTAGATGCTTTCAATCTCCCCCTTTTTGGTGATTGATGACAATACCACCTCGAGTATGTGAAGGAGTGAGGTTTTTGACGGGCTTGGTTCATATAAGCTTTTGTCAATAAGAACAAAAGAGTGAGGCAAGCTTATATGACCCAAGCCAACACGATGTACTCAAAAGATATGAAATAAGCATGAGTACAAGTAACAAAGCTCATTTGCATCGGAGTATAAACGCGGAAGCAAAGGCAAATGAGCATAGCACAAGTGATATGACATATAAATAATGTAAAGTAGGCACACATGTCATATATCACAATTACGTAGATATCACTATCACATAGATATAATAATATGCATGAAAGTAACACACGAATGCATAAAAGTAATAGTGTATCACACAAATGAAACTCCAAAAGTATAAAATAAGCTAATAATAGATAACTAGCTCCCCCTAAATGTCGCTCCCCCTGAGTCTACATACTCGAACCCTCTCCCCCTTTGGCGTCAAACACCAAAAACTAAGGGCTGGTCGGCGGGGCTGCAGCGGACGAGTCGGGTGCTGAAGTGCGAGGAGCAAGCGTAAACCGGGTGCCATCATCATCTGACCCTGAGCTTTGTGCTGACTGACCCTCTGAAGCAGGAAGTGTCGCTGAAGCGG